GGGGAGGGGGGGGGGGGCGTAACGTTGCTGGGAACCGGCCCGTTCTCGGCTCCGGCGGGAGAGCGGGGGGGGCGCGGCGCGGCGCGGCCTCTCCAGCCATTGGTGCTATTTATTTATTATTCCCCGGGCCCCCTTTTCTCCGGGGGGCCGGGGGCGCGGAGGACGCCCCTCCCGGCCGGGGCCGATGTAACACAATTGCTCCCCCCCCCCCCCGCGCCCCGAGAACAGAGACCGCCCGCGGATTCTCCCGGCCCCGGAGCCGGACCGGCCGAGAATGTCCCCCGGTTGTTCCGGGCGGCCGGGGTGGGGGGGGGTAGGGGCAGTGTCCTGTGGCGTTTCTCCGCCCCCCCGCCCCCCCAGGTGTATCGATGTCCTGGCAGCCGGCCCTCCTCCCCCCTTGGGCGAGCGGTCGGGGAGGAGCCGCGACCCCCGGTCCCTGCCCCCCTTTCGGGTGTCGCCGGGCGTCTGGCCGCTCCGCCACCAAGCGGCATCCGGCGCCCGGGCGAACCGGCATGTGTGTGCGTGTGTCGTGTCGGGAGGGTGCGTATGCGCGCGCCCGTGTGCGCTCCCCGCCCCCCTTTGGTGCATGTTGCTTGCGCACACGGGCGCGCCCTCGCCCGCCCCCCGGCGCCGGCCCCCCGCATATTTCAGGACCCGCACTGGGCTGCCCGCCGTCACCGAGGCAGCCAGACAATCGATTGCCCCCTCTCCCCACCCCGAGCGAGTGCACCCCCCCCCCCACCCCCCCCCCCCCCCCCCACAACAATGACCAGCCCCACTGACTACGGTCCGCCGCCACATCTCCCTCCCGCTTCTGCCAGCCTTTTGCCCCGGTCCACCGCCGCCCGGTGCTAACCCCCCGTCCCCGTCCCCGTCCCCGTCCCCGGTCACACACAGACTACCTCGCCACTCCTCCCGACCAGTACTCGGTCGAGGTCGGCGAGGCCCGCCCCGGCGAGACCCGCCCCCGCCGCCACTACCTCCTCGGCGACAAGCCCCTGGTCAACGGCGCGGAGTTCTTCAACTCCCAGAACCTCTGGGAGGGCTTCCTCGGCGGTGAGAAGGCCTCCAACGGCGGCACCTGCCTCGGTGTGCGCGCCAAGAACGCCGACGGTACCGCCGGCGACTTTGTCTGGCAGAGCTACGCGCAGATCCGCGCGCGCGCCCTCAACGTCGGGTGCGTCGGGTGCCGCCCGTCTCCCTTTCTCGCCTTCTCCCTCCCGCCCCTCCCCCGTACTAACCCCCTTCCCCCCCCCCCTTCCCCCCCCCGCAGCCACGCCCTCACCCACCTCGGCCTCACCACCCAGGGCTTCGTCGGGCTGTACTCGGTCAACCGCCTCGAGTGGACCCTCGGCGAGCTCGGGTCCTACACCAAGAACCTCTGCACGGTCCCCCTGTACGACACCCTCGGCGATGAGTCCATCGTCTTCATCATCAACCAGACCGAGATGACCCTGGTCTTTGCCACTTGCGACAAGGCGGCCAACCTCCTCCGGCTGAAGGAGCGCATCCCCACCCTGAAGACCATCATCCTCATGGATGCCCCCCCCACCGGCGACACCCCCTACTACCCGGATGAGGCGGCCCGCGCGGCGTGCGTCTTCGCCCCGGCCGACCTGGCCACCAAGGCCCGCACCGACCTGACCGAGGCCGGCTTCGAGGTCTACGCCCACCTGGACCTGGAGAAGCTCGGCTCGGAGAACCCCTCGGACCTGGTGGCCGCCACTCCGGACGACCTGGCCACCATCTGCTACACCTCCGGCACCACGGGCCTGCCCAAGGGTGTCATGCTGACCCACAACAACATCCTGTCCGACGGCGCGGGTTTCATGTACCTCGGCGATCGCGGCGAGTCCATCATCATCAACAGCTCCTCCTACTATCTGTCCTTCCTGCCGCTGGCCCACGTCTTCGAGCGCGTGGTCTTCCAGGTGCTGCTCCTGCGCGGTGCCACCATCGGCTTCTACCAGGGGGACATCCGCACCCTGATGGACGACATTGCCGCCCTGCGGCCCACCATCTTCGTGGCCGTGCCGCGCCTGCTCAACCGCGTGTACGACCGCATTCGCGCCACCATCGACGCGTCGCCCTTCCTGTCGAAGTTCCTCTTCGACACGGCCTACAACACCAAGCTGGCCAATGTCGCCTCCGGCTCTCGCACCCACTGGCTCTGGGATCGTCTGGTCTTCAGCAAGGTCCGCGAGCGTCTGGGCGGTCGTGTCCAGTACATCCTGTCCGGCTCGGCCCCGGTGTCGGCCGAGATCCTGCAGTTCCTGCGTGTGTGCTTCAGCTGCTACGTCTTCGAGGGCTACGGCCAGACCGAGACCACCGCCGGTGCCACCCTCACCTGCAAGTCGGACTTCTCTTCCGGCCACACCGGGCCCCCGATGCCCAACATCGAGGTCAAGCTGGTCGACGTGCCGGAGATGAACTACTTCAGCACCGACAAGCCCTTCCCCCGCGGTGAGGTGTGCCTGCGTGGCTATTCCATCACCCATGGCTACTACAAGGACGAGGAGAAGACCCGTACGTGTGCTGCGCGCCCGTGCCCTCTGTGATGCTTTACTTTGGCCCCGTGCTGCGGGGTGGGGGGGGGGGGGGGGCTTTCTCTTCCCTCTGTTCTCCGCTCG